AGATGGGTACTCTTGACTGGGCCTTGCCACACTGCAATCCTCCCAGCAGCCTCACAGATAGCCAGGATCATGAAGGCCAAGGTACAAGTTGTGCCCAGCAAGTTCAAGTCTACTAAGGATCCAAACCTGCTTTGCATATGGATGAAATGCAAAGCACGGTCCTTGCAACACTGGGCTGGGATGCAAATGCACTCTTACCTGACTGCTTTACTAGTTGGATTTTCATGACACATTTTAATATCTGATAGGGCTAGTGCCCTTGATTACGCTCATTTACCAGAATGTTTTTGTATGTTCTTGTCCCATTTTTCCATAGAATGAACAGGCTTATCTAGATTTTTTCTTTTCAAATCCTGCTGGTATTTCTTATTAGGATACCATGTCAGTTATAGATTAACTTCAAGGGAACTGACTTCTTTATCATTTAATTTTCCTATGGAGAACGTGTCAAGTGTGTTTACTACTCAAGAATGATCTCGTGTTGTTTGTAGGTACTTTATGCATTTCATCATATATCTTTTACACATTTACGGCTATGTTTATACACTTGCATTTTATTTTTCTTTCTTGTATAAAGTTAAGCAAAATAGCCTTTTAATTTCCCTTGTAGATATGGTTATTTCCTGTTTATTAATTTCCTCCTTTGGGCAACTAGTCTTTCAAGAAAGGGTTTTTGAAAGAAGATAGAAACAAATCATGCTTGTGTACTGGCAAATATGGTTCAGGGTTGGCACCTCTTTCTGAAAAACACTGTAGAGAAAGAAACAGTGTGAGCCCCTCAAAGAAATGTTTGATTTTTGAACAAGAAGACAAATTAAACAGAAGACAAATTGTCAGGATACATAAGAGCATAGGAATGAGGGAATTTCCAGAAACCACAACTCCAGCCAAAAGCACATAGCAGTGAAGTTTGGCTCTGCTGACCCTCATGGTCTGCAGACAGCTGAGAGCTGCCAGACTCCTGTTTCTTTCTCTCTTTTTCTCTCTCTCCTTCAATATTTAAATAAATTTATTATGCTATTTCTCACAGGCAGCAGATGAGATTCTTTACTGTGTACAGGAAGATGGGGTTCCAATTTACAACAAAATTGAGAGAAATCACTAGAAAGAAGTTGACCCCACCATCCCTTTAAGATCCAGAGTTCCCAGTTTCTAACTCTCTCCCAAGTACTCTTCTAGCAACCACAAAATATAAGAAAGAGACCAAATCCAGTAATGACTGAAAGGCTAGGGAAGAGCAGGGCAAATACAGTCATTTCCTTATTCCGTCTCTCATACACCAATATATCGTGTGCTGTGCTGGGAGAACATTTGGCAAACTTTTAAGAAATTAAAATTAAAAATGACAATACGATGTCATATACTTTAAATGTTTATTTTTTTAATAAAGGACAAATTGCTCACTAGCTCTGTCCATTTCAATTGTTGGATTGAAATTAGTTAATCATGGACCAGCCCTTCAGTACAGTGGTTAAACACTATGCATTGGGAGATCCCACGGAGCCAACTACAGTTGACATCCGGCCTTGGCAGCATGAAAAACATACTGGGTACATGTGCCCAGAATCCTGAGGGGTTCCAGAAATGAAGGAAAAAGGATAGCGGTTTGAGTGCACTGCACTGGAAGACAGGGAGGCTCTTGTTCTGTCTCTCTCTCTCTTTGACAAGTACACAAACTCCCTGCCCCCCCAAAAATGCTAACTTAAAAAGGATTAAATAAAAAAAGAAGTGAGTTATTCACAAATCCAGCACTGCCTGAGTTTGCTTTTATCAAAGATGTGTTTTAGATTTCTAAAAAGTTTTTGTCAGTGTTTAAGAGATGAAAAGCACTTTGTGGTAGGGGCTTTGGTAGAAGTCACCTCCCTGTCCCGCCCCGTCATGTGGGACTCCATGCAGCCTGTTCTACAGATGCTTTTCAGAGAGAGGTGATGCCTGCTTAGTGAGGCATGAACAGCTGCCTCTTCCCTGAGGGACTTCCGCCCCTCGGTGGTTGTTGGGCAACCACCCGAAACAGCACACAGAAAGGGCTGCTGGAGGCAAAGGTGATTATTTCCTGTGCCCTCTCACCTAGGCAGCCCTCTGCTGTTGCAGCCCAGCTGCAAAAAAGGCAGAACTGTGGAATTGCTCTGAGAGCACAGAGAGGTTAGATCACCAGCATCTGAAAACGGAACTGGAATTCTCTAAACTGATCATGACTCTTGTGACCCACGATGGGAAATGATAGTATCTGCTGAGTAGAAAATGAAAGGGAAGACCAGGAGGAGCGGGTACGAAGGAAGCAGCTGTTTCCCTAGTGATAAATGCAAATGGAATGATTTTCCTAAAGGCTGGAGTGGGAAGGGAGGAGCAGATAAGAATTTCTTTTACATAGCAGAGGCCCATTTAAGAAGGTTCTCCTACCCTCTTAATCATGAGGCCAGAGCTCTGTGTGTTGGCCTGGTGTGAGGAGAATTGGAAAAGTGAGGAGTTGAAATGCAGAGTTGAAAAAGATCTGGCCCCACAGCCTGCATCTTCATCTCTGCAGTCTAAGGCAGAACATGATCCTGTTAGAAATGGAATCTTTGTGTGACATTTACTTCGTTTTATGATTGTGCTGCCCCCATGGCACAGTTGTATGCATGAAAAGCCGGGTTCCCATGACCAACCAAAGTTCAAATCCCAGCCCCAGCAGCTTGAGAAACACTCTAGGTACATGTGTGCATGTGTGCCCTAAATCCTGACGGGATAGAGAAATGGAGGAAAATTATTGTGGTGAGACCATGCCCCATTGAGGGTCTCTCTCTCTCTCTTTCTCTCTCTCTCTCCTCTCCCTCTTTCTTTCTCTCCCCTCGCATACACACCTTCTCAAAAGTGCACAAGCCCACTGGCAATTGGAATGAAGGAAAGAAAGAAAAAAAAAGGGAAACAAAGTTTTATGCTCTTAGGCAAGTTAATTGACCTTTCTGAGTCTTGGTGTCCACAAACGCTGAATGAGAGGAATGACACCTACTTAAGAAGGCTTATGTATAAAGTCAGATTCCCAACCTATGCCCCAGTACATAGTACTTGGTAGGGGTCTTCAACTGTCTTGGTCCTTTCTGCCACATTTGTCTTT